TCTTCACGCAATTCAGAAACACGGCAACTAAACTCAAAAAATTATTTTTTAAAAGTTTTATTATAATAGTGTTCTCATTATAATGTTATGTAGCCTATATGACAGTCCCGGTCATAGTTATTAATATTCTGCATTGTTGTTTTATTTTTTTGGCCGCGAGGGTGTTGTCATGCCACTGGGGTTGAAATATGGATGCTGTGCACTGATCTATAATAGATATTATACATAGATAAGTGATGCTGTCCATAGACTATGACTCGGGATGATGGCACCACCCCCTGCAGGAGGCATCTTTTTCCATCACCCCGAGTGCCTAGATTTATTCAACAGGGGATCTGGATTACCAGAAAAAAAATCTCCTGCCAGGCAATTTCTGTAGCAGCTGTCATGGGCAGCCGGTTCCTGCCCACTATATTGCATCAGTTTCTAGGGGCTTGAACTCTGTCCTAAGAAATAGCTAACATCCATATGGCAACATGTCAGCCCTGCAACTGATCACCTGCTGAAAAACTACTGGATTCTAAATTCACATGTAATCCATATTGGATCAAATCTGGATGCATCTGTGCCTAAGATACATGTTTTAATACAATTCATTGTTTACTGAGGTAACAATTATTATACTGAATTATATTGTTATTCAATCTATATTTTGCAACAATATTACAATACTGACCTACATCAATAAGCTAATACTATGTTATGACCACAAAAACACTTTTACCATAGTGCATTATTTGTAAAATAATACAAGTTGTTGTTTACATCACATCACCAGTTTCATATGTATGTCTTTTCTGATGTAGTAAACTTGTTTGGTAGCTCACCTGGCCTTGAGCTTGCGATGTGGAGCACTTGGTTATGAGTCTCGTGAAATGTAAGTCATGATAAAAGAGTTCAAACACTTGTAGAAGCAGGCTAAAATGGCATGGTTGCTTCAGCAAATGTGTTTTTTATCTCACGTTTGCTTTTGTTAACACTATCGATTAGGATAGGTGGTACGTTATTTAAAAAAAAATAATAGAGCACCAATCGCCAGACATTTAATTTCCATACTGCCATGATATGTACAACAAACAACGTAATAAAAACATTGCTAAAACATGGCTAATCGGGAGTACCGGGAGGATTCCCAGTGGGCCAGTCTGTTTTTTTGGCCGCGAGGGCCGCGGTGTTGTCATGCCACTGGGGTTGAAATATGGATGCTGTCCACTGATCTATAATAGATTTTATATATAGATCAGTGATGCTGCCCCATAGACTGCCTGCACTCATAGCAGCCCCACTCTTTTTATTTATAATTTTCTCACAGCCCATATTATTATTTTCACCAGACTATATCAATTACAAATTCTCAATTGATAATTAATCATTCTTTTTGCGCAAATCATTGTTTTATTTGTGAAGTAGACGTTTGAGGAAGGCGTTAAGACCAAGCGGAATCCTCTGCCGGCTCCCGCTTCACAGCGAGCGGGTCTCGCGCTGATGGTAGTTACCTTCACCGTCTGCGTTTTGATTCAGTTGAGGCGAATGCAAACAACTTATTGATCATGAGCCCAACATTCAATCTACCTGAGGGAAGACGTCTTTATTGGTA